TGCATATTGTGAACAGACAATGCATGGGTTTCATAATTTTTTTATACCAAAATGAACTTTTCCTTTAACTTCACTGTTCCATGAGCTTTTGGAAATTCCTTCAATTGTGCCAGGGATTTTATAATCATTAAATAAAATAAAGTATACAAAGCCCCCTTTGCTTTGTCTCTATTTCATTACAATGCAGTCATTTCAGATTTAGAGAATAAGCTAGAAATGTCTTCTGTGGGATTTTTTTCCCCCAACAATTACCATATACCAACTTGGAATGTAAGAGTGAAAATCACAAGTGAGAACACTTCAAGTAGCACATAAATTCACTAAAGGTCAAACTTTCCTTCATGAATTTAGTATAAAAAGGACTGCTCTACTAAAGTAAGCAGGATGTTTTATTTGATATTTTATATACAGATCTCATAAAAATGATAAATCATTTTCTCATGTTTTATATAATCACGGCCATATTTATTAAGCCAACAACTGACATCATACTTAATGGGAAAAAACTGAAGGCTCACCAAAATCTGGAATAAGACAAGGATGCCCACTCTTAACACTTTTGTTCAACATAGTACTGGAAAACCTAGCCAAAGCAATTAGGCAAGAGAAACAAACAACAGACATGCACGTTGAAAAGGAAGAAGTTGGGGCTGGTGCTGCAGCATAGGGGGTTAAGCCACTGCCTGCAGTGCTGCCATCCCATATGGGCACCGTTTCAAGTCCTGGCTGCTCTACTTCCCATCCAGCTCTCAGCTCTGTTCTGGGAAAACAGTAGAAGATGTCCCAAGTCCTTGGGCCCCTGCACCCACGTGGGAGACCTGGAAGAAGCTCCTGGCTCCTGGCTTCGGATCGGCGCAGCTCGGCCATTGCGGCCATCTGGGGAGTGAACCATCGGATGGAAGACTCTCTCTCTCTCTGCCTCTCTTCTCTCTCTGTAACTCTGACTTTCAAGTAAAAAATAAATAAATCTTTTTTTAAAAAAGATTTCTTTCTTTTTTGAAAGAGTTACACAGAGAGAGAAGGAGAGGCAGAGAGAGAAAGAGTTCACTCCCCAGACGGCCGCAATGGCCGAGCTGCGCCGATCCGAAGCCAGGAGCCAGGAGCTTCTTCCAGGTCTCCCACGCGGGTGCAGGGGCCCAAGGACTTGGGCCATCTTCTACTGCTATCCCAGGTCATAGCAGAGAGCTGAATGGGAAGTGGAGCAGCGGGGTCTCAAACTGGCACCCACATGGGATGCTGGTGCTTCAGGCCAGGCCAGGGCATTAACCTGCACCTGCTGTGCCACAGCGCTGGCCCCAGAAATAAATCTTAAAAAAAAAAAAAAAAAGAAAAAGAAAAGAAAAGCAGGAAGTCAAATCATCAGTCTGTAGATATATGATTTTTTTTTTTTTTTGACAGGCAGAGTGGATAGTGAGAGAGAGAGACAGAGAGAAAGGTCTTCCTTTTGCCGTTGGTTCACCCTCCAATGGCCACCACAGCTGGCGTGCTGCAGCCGGCGCACCGCGCTGAACCGAAGCCAGGAGCCAGGTGCTTCTCCTGGTCTCCCATGCGGATGCAGGGCCCAAGCACTTGGGCCATCCTCCACTGCACTCCCTGGCCACAGCAGAGAGCTGGCCTGGAAGAGGGGCAACCGGGACAGAATCCGGCGCCCCGACCGGGACTAGAACCCGGTGTGCCGGCGCCGCAAGGCGGAGGATTAGCCTATTGAGCCGCGGCGCTGGCCAGATATATGATCTTGTATGGAGAAAATCCCAAAGACATTATAAAAAAAACTATTAGAACTAATAAATTTAGCAGAGTTGTAAGATACAAAGTAAACATATATAATCAGTAGCATTGTTATACCAATAGCAAATTATCTGAAAAACAAATCAAGAAAGCGATACCATTTCCAAAAATTGCAAAAAATCTCCACCTAGGAATAGATTTAACCAAAGATACTAAAAATCTGTACAATGAGCACCATAAAACATTGATGAAAAACTTTGAAGAGAACAAAAATAAATGAAAATACAGTTTGTATTCATGGACTGAAAGAATGAATATTGTGAAAATGCCCAGGCTACTCAAAGCAATTTGTTAATTCAATGCAATCCCTATAAAAATAAAATACTTTCCACCGAAGTAGAAAACACACTACTAAATTATGTATGTAACCACAAAAGACCCTAAAGAGCCTAAATACTCCTGAGAAAACAAAAAGCAGTAGACATTATCCCACTTTTTAAAATATATCATAAAACAACCATAATTAAAATAGTACAGTATTGGCATAGAAATAGAATAGAAAAAAAAAACAAAACAGGATAGAGACTCTAGAAGTAAACCCAGGCATCTACAGCCAACTGATTTTCGACAAAGGTACTAAGAACATGCATTAGAAAAGTGATGGCCCATGGGGCTAGTGCTGTGGAGTAGCGGGTGAAGCTGCTGCCTGCAGTGTGGGCATCCCATATGGGCGCCAGTTCAAGTCCTGGCTACTTCTCTTTCAATCCAGCTCTTTGCTATGGCTTGGTAAAGCAGCAGAAGATGGCTCAAGTTCTTGGGCCCCTGTACCTGCTGTGGGAGACCTGGAAGAAGCTCCTAGCTCCTGGCTTTGGCCTTTGCAGCCATCTGGGGAATGAACCAGTGGATGGAAGATCTTTTTCTCTCTGCCTCTGCATCTCTGTAATTATGCCTTTCAAATAAATAAATAAATCTTAAAGAAAATAAAAAGAGAAGCGTTGCTCCTTTCAGCAAACAGTGCTGGGGAAATTGGATATCCACATGCAGAAGAATGAAACAAGACTCCTCTCTCTCACCATGCACAAAAATCAACCCAAAATGGATTAAAATGTAACACCTGAAACCTTGAAACTACTAGAATAAAACATGTGGTAAGTGCTTCTGGATGTTGGAATAGGCAAAGTTTATTTTGGATCAGACCAAGAAAACATAGGAAACAAAGCCAAATTATACAAGTGGGATTTTATCAAACAAAAGTGCTTCTTCATAGCAAAGGCAACAAACAAGTGAAGAGACACCCTACAGAATCAGAGAAATACCTGCAATCTGTATATATGGCAAGAATATATAAGGAACTGAAACAACTCAATGGCAAAAATACAATTATCCAATTAAAAGACAGGTAATAGATCTCAACAGACATTTCTTAAAGGGCAACATTCAAGTGGTCAACAAATACATGAACAAAGAGTTCAACATCAGTATCAGAGAAATACAAATCAAAACCATAAGAAGATATTGCTTCATTCCAGCGCGATTACCTATTATCAAAAAGAGAAAAGACACCAAGTGCCAGGGAGAAGCTGGAGAAAAGGGAACCCTTACACTCTGCTGGCAGAAATGCAAAGTAGTAGTCCTCTTGTTCAACAGAATGGAGATTCCTCAAAATAATTAAAAATAGACCTACCATTTGATCTAGCAATCCCAGTACTGGGCATATATCCAAGGGAGATGAAATCAGTCTATCAAAGAGACATTTGCACTTCCATGTTTATTGCCAAGACTATTCACAGCAGCCAAAGATGAAGACAATTGAAGTGTCCATTAACTGATGAATGGACCAAAAAAAAAATCTGTTACATATACATAATGAAATACTACCCAGCCATAAAAAGGATAACCTCCTGTCATTTATAACATTATAGATGGAACTGGTGGTCATTATGTAAAGTGAAATATGCCAAACACAGAAGATAAGTGCTGCATAATCTCACTCATACATTGACTCTAAAAAATCGATCTCAGAGAATTTAAGAGTTTTTTTGTGGTTACCAGAACCTGGAAAATAGGACAGCAGACTCGGGAAAGGCTATTTCATAGGTATTAAGTTACAGTAAAATAAGAGTAAGAAATTCTGTTGTCCTGTTATAAAGTAAGGTGATTATAGAAAATGAAAAGGTACTATATGTTTCTCTTAAAAACCAGTAGAGAGGATTTTGAATGTTTTTACCATAAAAATTATGTTTGAGGCAACAGATACGTTTACCCTGACTGGATATTACACGATGTATAGAGGTACCGAAACATCACATGCCAACCACAAATGTGTATAATTTTTAGGTGTCAGTTAAAAAAAGTTGGAATAAAAAATTTGCCCCAAAATATATATTCTTGTGTTCTATAATAAAGAATAGCATGCCATAGATAATTCATGATTTGGACTAAAGAACTGTCATGAAAATGGTTTCTTTATAAAACACTCAAGAGTAGTAATATCATTTGGCACATCAAAGGGAATGAGATGGGAGAGCAGCTCAATAATTGTATTATTTACAGATATTTCAATGTTAAAGTTAAAACATGAACAACTCCAGTGTCTTCTGAATAGTAATAGTATCCCACAGCTTGTAATTAGAACCGATAGTGAGGTTGGTGTTGACCGCATTTGAATGAACTGTACTGAGTCTTCATTTCTGACAACCTGCTTAATGTTGTATTTCCAACTCTACACACACTCCTTCCAACTCTTCCTAAAATATGGTCATTTTCTTCAATAAGTTTCAGGCCTCAAAAGATTCTGCTGACTGTATCCACATTTAATTACAAATCATGTCTTCAGCAGTTGGTACATATTGAAAATCAGGAACAAATTCAATATGTGTTTCTAATGAATAAAAACCAGTGACTAGGCTGACAGTATGAATAATTTACATGGCTTACAAAAACATTATTTGTAAGTGATAATCAACTCCCAGTGCAAGCCGTTCAGACCCAACACTGACTAACTTTCTCTCACATATGGTGTGGGTTCAGATCACTCAGGAGTTTTGCTTTATGTCATGCTACATTGTTAAACTTGCCATCTGGTCCAACAGCTGATGTATCTCATACAACCCTGAAGAGGCCCCAGGGCTCACTCCTGGGAAATACTTGGTCTACTGTGTGTGTCCTGACTATAACTTAACAGTGTTCTCAGATTCTTAGAAAAGAGTTGCGTAAAAATCACACTGAGAAAACCCTAAACTGGAATTAGTTTGTTAGAAGAGTTTACTTACCTGAGGACCAGGCTGACCCTGAAATTGAAAAGAGGAAAAAGAAATATAATTACAAAACTGTTAAGTATTTTAACTATAAAACTTAAACTAGTTTGGGAAATCTTTATAGAATATTTCTGAAGATAATAATACCTAAGCACCAACAAATTCTACTTTGTGGTTTCAAAAATCATATCACATCTTAATACTTTTTCTCTAAACTATTTTTTTTTTTTGACAGGCAGAGTGGACAGTGAAAGAGAGAGAGACAGAGAGAAAGGTCTTCCTTTGCCGTTGGTTCACCCTCCAATGGCCGGCGCGGCCGGCGCGCTGCGGCCGGCGCACTGCGCTGATCCGATGGCAGGAGCCAGGAGCCAGGTGCTTTTCCTGGTCTCCCATGGGGTGCAGGGCCCAAGCACCTGGGCCATCCTCCACTGCACTCCCTGGCCACAGCAGAGGGCTGGCCTGGAAGAGGGGCAACCGGGACAGAATCCGGCGCCCCTACCGGGACTAGAACCCGGTGTGCCTGCGCCGCAAGGCGGAGGATTAGCCTAGTGAGCCGCGGCGCCGGCCTCTCTAAACTATTTTAAAATCCCATTATTACAGTTTATTATGTGTAATTCCAAAATCAATTGAGGGTTTCAGCACACTCCAGAATTTAACTGTGGAAATCAAAGGCGAAAGGACTATTATAACTTATATTATCTTAACAAATATATTAAAGAGAGAATCTTCTAGAACATGTTAAAAGATGACACAGGGGCAGAATTTTGGCACAGTGGTTAAGATCCCACTTGTGACACCTGCCTGGATTTAAGTCCTGGTTCTTCTCCCTATTCCAGCTTCCTGTTGATCTGTACCTTGAGAAGCAGCAGATAACAAATCAAGTAGTTGGGTTCCTGCCACCCATTTGAGAGACTTGGATTGAATTTTTGGCTCCTAGGTTTGACTTGGTTCAACCTGGTGACTGTGAGCATTTGGGGAGTAAACCAGCAGATGGAAGATTATTCTCTCTCTCTCTCCCTGACTTTTAACTAAATAAAAATAAAAGATGACACTTATAATTTTATCCAGCACTTGAATCTGGAAAGATCTATATTTACATCCAAGTGGAAAGTCCTGCCTTTATAGGCTTTTGACTGAAAACCTCTCTGTGGTCAGTGCAAATTTTAGGGCTTTCTGTTGCTCTCCAGATGCTATGTCCAGCTGATCTCTGCACAGATATGTATCGATTGGGGCACTTACTGACTCTGGGTAGGCATCTGGAAGCAGGGATGCACACTCTGGCATTTTTTAATAAAAAAGTGGCACACATTTTGGTTTTAGAATTCTCTGAGTCTTTGAATTTCTCATTGATTCAATAATATTCTGTTTTTTATAAATGTATATTTCTTACTATGCATAATCCAACCTTATAGCATTACAAAAGAATATGAGAGAGAGCTCTTTAGAACATGTACCACAACTCCTTACACAGTGAATTGATTATACGACCTTTGGCCAATCTAATTCATTTTAAATGTCACTACCTAGTTTAAGTTGATGAAAGTGGCTAGTATTATGGCAGAGCAGGTTAAGACACCAGCTGGGATGCCAGCATCCCATATGGGAGCCACTTCATGTCCTGGATGCTCCACTTTCCATCCAGCTCCCTGCAAATATGCCTGGGGAAGCAGCAGAAGATGGACCAAGTACTTGGGCTCTATACCCTCGTGGGAAACCTGGATTGAGTTCCAGGTTCCTGGCTTTGGCCTGGCCCAACCCCTGCCACTGCAGCCATAGGAGAGTGAACCAGCAGATAGAAGATCAATCTCCCACTCTCCCCCTCTTTGTTACTGCTTTTCAAGTAAATAAATGAATCTTGTTTAAAAAAAAAGTTGATGAAAATTTCAAAATAGTGTGATTTCAATGCTTCTAGCTAAAGAAAAATCACCCAGGAATAGAAGTATTCTTTACACATCACCTCCTTAAAATCCCCAGTTGTGTCAAATGAGACTGAAGGAAAAGTTCACGTTGAGTTAAGGAATCTTGAAAGATAATAATGTGCAACTTCATTGCATCAGCTGTATGTCACAGACTGTCTTAAAGAAAAACGTGGAGCTAACACATCTCCCAGAGAAAACCCTGGAATTCTCTCACTCTCTTGGCAGACTTGAAACTTCTCTAGAGACTTGTTCTCCATCTCACTGGGGATGGAGCAGATTATTTTTCAAGAGCTTTGCCTGAGTATGTAGGAAGGGGAGCCAAAGAAAGTTACTGTGGGTGTTACCCTATTCCTTTATTCTTCAGTGGTGCAGAAAGAGAGAAAGAATAACATTGATTAATTCCTCATTGAGCACCAGTCACTTTTGGATATATGTTATCATATATTCCTTGTCAACTGCCACACAGCTTTCAAATGGAAAAACTGAGGCTCAGAGGAATAGGGTGGCACAGCTTATAGGCAGATAAGCCAGAATTTAAACCCACGCTTGATTCAGAAGCTCATGTATTTTTCCATTCTGCCTTTCCTTCTGCAAGGTGAGGCTCACAGCTATATGCATATGTGCTCAGATCGACCATGGTGGAAGTGGTCCCTTCAGGTGAGTATACATGTGAACTTCTCAACCACTTCTGGCTGCCAGAGTGTGCATCCCTGCTTCCAGATGCCTACCCGGAGCCAGTAAGTGCCCCAATCGATATGTATCTGTGCAGAGATCAGCTGGACATAGCATCTGGAGAGCAACAGAAAGCCCTAAAATTTGCACTGACCACAGAGAAGTTTTCAGTCAAAAGCCTATAAAGGCAGGACTTTCCACCTGGATGTAAATATAGATCTTTCCAGATTCATGTGCTAGATAAAATTATAATATATATACCCTTGCTCTCTCTCACTGTCCTTTAAACTGTTGGTCTTTCTGTTGCTGTTCTGAGCTAATGAAAACTCTGAAGTGTCAAAATACAGCTGCATAGAACTCTGCAGAATATATCACATCTCTTATATGTGTTCTGTGAAAGTTAAAATGTTGGATTCTCTAAAACCAGAAAGAATTTCTTCAAAACAGTCCATTTAGTATATTTGCTGAGATTTTACTGATTCCTAGGGTGGTTCTACAAATGACAGACTTTCTTGTCCATCTTTAAAATGTGGCATATCTGCCATTATCCTGAATAAGTGATGTAGTACAATGTGTGCATGTTATTATATATAAATATACATTGCCTTGTGGATTTTAAGTTAGTGAGAAGAAATCATAGTAAATGATGGTAAAATGAAAACACTGACTTCTGTATAGGCATTGGAAAGAATATAAATCCAGGGGGCTCAGATTATTCTAATTTGTGATGCAAACTTCAGGGCTGTACAGTGTGTGGTGTACATATGATTAGGATGGGGAAGGGAAAAAAGGGAAGTGGTTGGTAGCAAGGCTTCCTGGAGAAACAAGGCACACAACATGACACATTAGGTAATTCTGCCCTAAAATACACACTACTTAACACAAAGCTTACAAATTTTACTCAGATTCCAGGACTAAGTACACCAAGTCCCCTCACTCAATAGGATCTATTCACTAGCAGACTCCTAAAATATTTCTAAGAAAACAGTCCCACAGCTGGAGTCTTAGAGTAATCATAATAGAGCCACCTGCCAAAGCAAGAAAGTGAGGCACAATGAATGAAAAGGTTTCAGTGGGCATGGCAAGTGCAGCCACTAGCAAGAGAACTGAATGGGAGACTGGTAGAATTAGGACTCACAAATTCAAGGCCCCACCCTCCACTCCACCACACCTGACACAGGCTCCGGATCAATCAGGACCAAGGAGCCTCCAGACCCTAAAACCGCAAAAGACCTCCTAATGCCTTGTTAGGGACTTCTCCAATCTATATACATGCCCAGACTAGGATGATGTGACTGATTTCTGACCTTCCTGGGGAGGTGGTAGTAACAAATACCGCCATTTTGAGTGTGTCTTGTGCAAAAAACCCACAACAGCAGCTGCTTAGAGCATGGTGCCAACTACAAACCCAAGTGACCTGTAACAAGAGGGATGAGCCAGAACTCCAGGGTAGGTACACATCTAAGACCTTGTGCCAAGCGATAACAACCAGGCCTCCCTAACCCCATAAAGGCACCTGTTCAGCTCCTATGGGGAGCTATTCCACAGAACCTCTTCCTGTCCTGCTGTCTGAGTTCTGTATTGGTCTCCTATCAATTGCTATTTGCAAGTGACCAAAGAAACTAGGGTAGGGAACAATATGAGGAGGGTCCAATGGAGCCTATGAGTGAACAGCAGCTCAGAAACTGTCCTTGGTGGAGTCTGTGGTCTCAAAAGGCTTCCATATCCTTGGCAGCTCATGACAAGAGCCTTGGGTGATCACTGACATCACAAATCAGAGTGTCAATTGTTAAATCAATAGGAGTCACTGTGCCCTTGCTCCCCATGTAGGACCTCTGTCCTTAATGAGTTGTACTATGAGAATTAACTATAAAACTTGTCTTCAAGCACTGCTTTATAATTTGTGTGTCTGTGTGGGTGCAAACTGTTGAAATCTTAGTATAGAGTTGGTCTTCTGTATATAAAATTAATTAAAAACAAATCTTAATGAAGAATGGGATGGGAGAGGGAGTAAGAGGTGGGATGGGAGTGGGGGCGGGAGGGTGGGTATGGGGGGAAGAACTGCTATATTCCTAAAGCTGTACCTATGTAATCTAAATACATTGAATAAAACTTTTCTTAAAAAAAAAGGAAAGAAACTGTCCTTAGGACTAAGGACATTCACTGGCTGATTTGGACTCTGTCACAGACTCATAACCAAAAAAAGGGCTCAGATTTTCCTAGTGTTGCTTCTGAGTAATTCATTAAGAAATGCAAGAATTTCCATTCATTAGTTGACATTTTTCTACCCTAATCAAGAGATAGTGAACATTATTTATAATTAACTGTGAAAGTTAACTTTTTTCAATTTTTTAAAGAAAACCCTAAATAAGTAGCCATAATTATTATTGACATTCAAAAAACAGATAGTTGATTTCTTAAAAATGGAATTCTTGAAAAGAC